GAAAACAAATCCACACGGAGAATTCGCCTTCGAGGAAGGCCCCCTCCTTTTCGCAGGAGGCGGACGCCACCGAGGGACGCCGCGCCATTTGCCCAAAATAACACGCACACGCCCATTCATCAACGCCACTCGGTTGCCGATTCCAGGACGGCAGGGGGCCAGGTTACCGGGAAAACGTACGTCGCCCGCCGACAACGCCCCGATAGGACCACCACCGGCCGATTTCCGCCGTCCAGCATGCGACTTTCAGCGCCAAAGCGATGACGGACTGACCCGCCACCGCGCGGCAAGGCAGGCCACAGGCATCGATCTGACATCGCGGAAACTATCCGAAATGAAGTTTGCAAAGAGACGTGTCCGCATCTACTCCGCTGCCAGGCCCTGCAGGCGCCTGGAAAAAATCATGGAGCGAACGCTTGGTAGGTGAGGAATCTGTGCCCCACGAAAATACTGGCGCAGCTGCTCCTCAAGGTGGAAAGACCCCGCCGCCAACAGCACCTCTGCGCGACAAGAAGAAACGGGGCTCCTCGCGGATCCCGCATAACGCCAACGCTCCTGGCAGGTGGCTTTTCTCCTCCTTTTGTTATTTATAGATTGTTTTAATGATTTGTTGATTTGTTGCTTTACCGATTCTTGGAAACAATGGATTATTGAGCCACCACGCCAGTCCGGGGCGGATGCGTAAAAGGTGTTTATTTCACGCTCTTCGCTGTAGCGCCCTCACCGGGGGGTTATGGCGCTTCCCATGTTGTTTTTTATGGGGAGCAAAAAAGCTGGAAAATATGCCATCGTTTTATGTTGTTTTTCTGTTGCAGGCTTTAAGAAACTTATTGTATGACTCTCGCAGCTTTTAAAATTTGAGTCTTTTTTTAAGGATACGATGCAAGTTTTTTGTTGTACTAGTGGTTTTCTTTTTTTTTTGTGTGTGTGTGTTTTCATACGATTTATTTATTGAAAATAAGCACATGATGAGAAAATTTTAATTTTGATTTTGCCAGTATGTCGTTTATTATTATTATTATTGTTATTATACTTTTTTATGAGGAGAATTTTGGCTTTGACAAGTAGAAGTTTGATTTTATTTCCGTGTGTTTTGGGTTTATTCTACTTCTTAATATATTGATGCTTGTATTTATGATGTTTCTATATTATTTGTTTTTTCCCCGTGAACTTATGTTGTATGCTTGGTAGGTTTGTAGAGAATGTTCTGCTTGCGCGATGTCATCTCACAATTACCTGGCGATGGTGCCACAAAATGGATAAAGATTGAGAATGTGATTTCACCAATGTCAAGCGCGGACGTGGTGAAACTGTTTCCCGAAGCCGTGAGTTGGAATTTTACATCGCACGTGCAAAGAACCGATTATGTGGTGTCTTTTCCAAATGAATCTGTTGCAAGGATAGCGATGAGAAGAGTGGAAGGTTTATCTTTTTTGGGTGAAAAAATGGATTTTTCTTTTTTATTTGAGGATAAAAAACTTGAAAAACCCTTACCGCTTAGAATGACAAGTTCCTATCCTAGGCTATATTTTTTGCCTCCGGAGGTTTCTTATCAAAACCGTTGTGATGATGCCGATCGTATTGTTTCCTCAGTTGGTATAACGTTTTCGTCTTCTCAAGATTGGGTAAACGCACGGTGAAAAGATGAATTGGGGTAATGAACTTTTAGATTTTATTCATGAAGCTGATTTTTTGCAGCTTCTGTTGGTAACTTAGTCGTTTTGCTCTTTTTTTGTTTTACTAGCTGATTTTATTTTATTACCATTGTTTCCATTACTTTTATTTTATTTTATTTTTATTTTTAAGTGGGATGACTTATTAGGATCTTGGGAGTTTTCTTGAGTACGTATTTTCATGCAAAATAAGGGCATTTGTAAGAAAGGAAAAATGTGGCAATATGTCCTCCTATTAAGATTCAGTTACCAGTTCTCTTCAAGCTCATGAGAATTCCAGATATGTAGCTACAGTATTAAAATAGCAACTAGGGAGAAATGTGGAGATTACTGTCTATATGTTTTTTATTTTGGTATGGTTCTTCACTGTTATTTTAAATCCAAAGGATGTGAGGAATTTGTCAAATATATTAAAACTCTTGTACACTGTTGTATAATGTGCCGTAAGAGTTACTGAGACTATATCTCTGGAGCTTTTAGATTCAAGTTTAGGAGATGGTGAGTTTGTAGTATCTGAACAAAGGCTTGAGATTTTAAATTATTTTCGGTAAATGAGCCAGCTGACTGATAATCAGTTTGATCCCACCTCAGATGGGAGAAGCGTATTATAAATTCTGCAAGAGTGATCGGGCATTCTGAGTCAGCTGGAGCTGTTTGATTTTTTTGGGGTTGTCTTACCAAAGGTAATTTCACTTTATATTGACGATTATATCAAGGCTTGGTTTGTCGATTATATTGTTCTTTGACTAGGAGAAATGGACTTTTTTTTTTTTTTTTTGCACGATTGGTATCCGGTATTTATTCACAGATTACCGAAAGCTATACACGGAGTATTGCATTTTCAGAACTTTTTCTCAGAACGGAGAGAATGAATTGCCTCTAATTTTTCTATATGATTGGTTAAAAAAAAACTCTCTAGGCAGCAAAGAGTCTCTCTTTTTATTCTTGTTCATCTATGGAGATAGGAAAATTTTTTTTTATTTGGCAGATGACACCCTCGGTAAAAAATTATTTTCTCCGTCTTTATGAACAGGAAGGCACGGGTGTTTTGGGTGCATAAACAAATTGAGAATATGATTGAGCTATGAAGAGTGTGACATGCTTTATTGAGAATTAAATGCTTTGAAGGATTGCATCTTTCACCAACGGAGCGTAATGCGAATTTGAAGAACCAAATGAGGGAGTTCCCTTCTACACTTCTATTATCGTGTGTTGCTGTCTTCTATTTTGAGTGTATCGAACAAGTATTTATAAATTCAGTGAAATGCATGGGTTTTTTTTTTTTTTTTTTTTTTTTTTTTTTTTTAAGGGTGACGATAAAGGTACAGTTTTCCTGGCCCAGTCTCGAGCGCTTCATGAGTATTTATACACAGTGGGATCACAGGTTACTTTAAATTCTTTTTTATTAGAATGGCAATGGGGAATATAGACTTATACGAAAAGATTGCTCCTTCTATAGGAATAATAGTAATAATAACAAAGCATTATTATTATTATTATTATCTAAAATTAGGATTGGAGTTGTGTCAAAGCGAATGTTCTTAAGAGGGGATGTAAAGCAATTGCGCTTATAACCGTGAAGTTTCTTTTGATTGGTGATTAACTTTTGTTTTTTGACGACTTTTTCGTGAAGCTCTGCTCGCTGTATCTCTTTAAAAAGGCGGATTTTCTTTTTTAAAGCATTGATTTTTAAATAAAAAATTTTAATCCCGTTTTCACCACTAAGGTAAATTTACTATAGACTTGATTGGACATGAATTTTATTTTTGTACTTTGCATCTACCAATCACTGTTATTATTTATTTATTTATCTTATTTATTTTATTTTATTTATTTATTTATTTTGTTTCCAGTGGTATTTTCTTGAATGAAAAAAAAAAAAAAAAAAAAAAAGATTTCCTTGTTTACCCCATTACCTTTATTTCGAGCCAAGGGGTTTGGTATTCCATGGAGGGAAATATGGGGATCCGGAATCAGGGATTCTTCTTTCGGCGGCTTGAATTTCATCTTTATTTCAAAGGGATGTGATATTTATTATTGTTATTATCATTATCATTTTTAATTTATACTTCTCTATCTCATTACGTAATGCTGTTTATATTTATTGTTCTCCTTATTTTTTCTGCTGTTTGTGTGCTGGTTTTTTTTAGTGGAATAGAAAAAATGGTTATAGAGTATCTTAATTCTGCAGACACGCAGCGTCTGATTGAGTTTCTTGGTGACGGAAAACTCAAGTTTTCTGTGCTTGAAAAGTCATTTAAAGAAGCCTTTCCAAAGGATACTCATTTTAATGTTTCTAGAGCCATTCAGCAACTGGTTCAGAGTATGATCAAATCAGGAGAAGGTGTAGGCATTGTGTCCTCCTTCTTTACTTTGGACATCATGTGCAAAATGGAGTGTGAAACAGCCAAGTGTGTGTTCTACGATGCACTTCTGGAATTAGAACGAGTCATGCGGCAAGATGTCTGTTTTACGGAGCAAATCAAGTATGCATCTAAGGAAACAAAGGAGGGGAAAAAATCTCTTGAGGCGATCAATGCGGAGAAGTATCGTTTTCACTGTGCAGCAAAGGGTTTTGCTTTTCGATTACTTGCAAACAAGGTTTCTCTGGATGAAACATCGCTTGCGGTACTTTATGATAAACAAGAACAAATTGATGCAGCGTTGAACGCATGGGAAATCAACAGTCTACAACTAAAGGAATCCATTGCCAATATTGCTCACTGTTGGACTCAAGATGTCGAAAAGAATTCATGTGAGGCACTGTCAAAAAACTCGGCGATTTTTGATTCTGGAGTCCGCGCAGCTTTGTTATTGCAAGCGGCACGACCACAACTTCCTTCCCTTCCTTTGGTATCAGGTGAACTGCAGTTTCTAACCCCCGGAGGTTCCCCCGGGAGTGATTTACTGTTTTTTGACACTGAACCAGTTACTGAAGAGTGGAAGCTGTCAAAAAAGCTGATTGCATTGAGCTGTAACAGTCTGTTAAACAAGGAGGAACAACAGCAACTCATTCATACACTTTCCTCTGGTGATTTGTTTCATCGACTTGGAATAAACATCGAATTGCTCAGTCTTATGGCTATTCACAATCCAGATTTAAGCGCCGCTTTAATACTGAAACTTCCTCCCCAGGAAGGTAGTCAATGCATTCAGCAAATTCTAAAGAGTTCTGTTTCTCCCGAGCATGCTGAAACCGTTCTTCTGCATGCATCAAAGATCCTACAACAAGTGAATATTCGTGCCTATATCAATGGGAAACTACATCTTTTTAAGGAGAAAGCAACCTTGTCTACTAGTGACAAGAATTCAATAAAAAGCTTTATCATGACTCTTTATCAGTTGGTGACTAAGGCTTCAAAAGAAAACAAAGAGGTGTACATTGCAGAGACGCTGAAGAGCGACATCACACACTTGTGTGAAAGGTGCGATCTCCCAGAGGTAAGCGCAAGATGGGAAGAACTGAAGTAATGCGTCTATTTTTTAATGAGATAAGAAGTATTGTCCCTTATTATTACTTGAAAAAATAGGGAAATATCTATATTTATTTATCCATATCTATTTCTACCCATCTATTGATTTAGATCTATCTTTAATTTTTTTTGTCTGACTTATTTATTACTACATGAATTTTTTGTTGTTGGTCGCGCCAACAGCACCTTTTCACCATATCCTTATTTCTTTTTTTTTTTTTTTTTTTTTATCGTTTTAGGAAAAGGGTGAGAAAATTTCTCTCTCCCAGCGGAAAGTCAAAACGGAATCATAATCATTGGGGATAGAAAAAAGGAAAACAACAACAAAAAGAGCGTTCTGTTTGCTCTCAGTGGCATTGTTTTATTAGACATGTATGGTGAATTAGAGTATGTTAGTTTCGCCTATATTACACCTTCTGGAAAACTCCCATGTGAACTGGTAGAAAAGCAACAGTTTTCATCAATGAATCAGATCATTGCTTCGTACAAACCATCAGATACTACTAGTAGTAGTAGTAGTGGTTGTTGTTGTATTTGTAGAACTAACAATAGTCAGGTCCAAGCGATGCCTGTTTTAAAAGAGTCAGGAACTAAGGTATATGTGAAGTTTTTTGACACTCTTAGAAAAGTTACTAGGACACAATGCTTTTCTGTTCGTCTGCGGTCAAATATGTCCTATATATACGAAATGATTCACGCATGGCTTCCCGATGTGGGAAATTTGGTGTGTTATACAGTGCATAGCGATAGTCATGGAGTGCTATATCCATTGGTTAAAACGGTACTTCATCCACAGGATGATGTGCCTGAAATTATTTTTTCTCAAAAGGTTTTTTTGCCTTTTTATAAATTTACACATTGTTGGGGTGTAGTGAACTTATTTGTGTTGCGGCATCATGGCTGTCTTGTTCCTGGATACATACCTTTAATAGTTTATCGTTCCTCAATGCATTCTAAGGAAGCATTACAGGAGCAGATTTGTCAACTTTGTTGTGCTTCTCCCTTAGAAGCCAATTATATGAAGTCACAACTCTTTTTTAAATGCACTGTTTCTACCGGAATTGTGGATTTGGTTTCCTTTTTTGATTCATTTACCGACGATTCTGCGTCCCTTTCCCAGATTGTTGTAGTTTACCCTGCCTTAGCACCAGGGGATTTAGTGCATTTGGACATGGTGGACCGAAAGAATCGAATATTTGGTATACAAGGTATGATCAAGTGTAGCCGACAAAAAGACGGTCTAGTATGCTATGACGTGGAGGAAATGACGACCGGTTATCTGCTGGAAGGGTTGACATGTGTTCAAGTCTTGCCTTTGTGATTATTTAAGAAGCTTTCTCTTCAATATATATTTATTGGTGTTTTGGCAGTGCGGAATTGGCTTTTCGTTGGTGTTTTTTTTTTTTTTCCAGTTTATATATTTTGGTATCTTGCTATGCATTGAATATTTTTGCTTATTTTTTTAATTTTATTCTTCTGGGGTGTTTAGGGAATTCTAACAAGAAAAAAGAGACATGGATCAGAAGTTGTGGTCTCTGCCGGTAAAACGGGTTCCAGTTGCACAGAAGGTGGATCGATCCGTGATATGGAATAATGCCTGCCTGTGCTATGAGCAGAAGTTGTTTGGTCAGGTGACTTGTGTGAGGTACAACAATACTGGGACGGCCGTCGGATGTACCTCGACAAATCAACTCACAATCCTACGAGTTCCTCAGACAGAAGGTGTGATTACGAATGAGCAGCGAGAAAAAAAATGTTTCTCTCTTCGGTTTCGGGATGATGACAAAATGGTTCTACTCTCTGTTAACCAGCGTGTGATTGCTAGATCCACGCAAACTGCTTTTGAGCGGCAATTTTCGGGTCATCTTAGAGAAGTTAGGGACGCGATATTTCTGGACCGACACAATTTTGTCTCGGCTAGCGATGACACGACTATACGGCTTTGGGATATTATGAATGAAAATGAGTTACTTATCTCCAAAACGCATACAGATTATGTTCGGTGTCTTGAGAACTATTCGCCAGGCTGTTTTTTTAGTGGTTCATACGATCACAATGTTAACTTGTGGGACACACGAGTTGGCTTTGAGCACCCAATTCAATCCAGTGGGCGCAGTATCGGGAGTCCTGTAGAGGCAATGCTCCACACGCACAACAACATATTGACATGTAGTGCAGGAGATCAATTAATATTGTTTGACATGCGTAAAGGCCTTTCCACAATGTTGTTGCAGGAATCACACCATACAAAAGCGGTGGTATCCCTTGCGTTTTCGAAAAGAAATAATGTTCTTTTGACAGGATCGCTGGATCAACGCGTGAAGATTTTCTCTTTGGAGAAGGGGGGACTGGAGCCTCTAGCGGGTAAGAAGTTTGATGCACCAGTGACTGCCGTGACGGTTCATCCAAATTTATCCGAGTTTGCTGTTGGCACTGCGGGGGGAGATCTTCGTATAATGAGGCTTGGAGACGCTTTGGACCAGAACGAGAAAGAAGAAGAAGTGGAGTTGGTGGAGGATGAACTCGGAGGAAAAGATAAAAATACACAGGATGATTTTTTGGGTACAAAGCTACATGATGTTCGACAGCAGCTTGTGTCGTATCAGTACAATCGTGCAATAAAGACAGCGCTGTATTCTCGTAGCTCGGACGTTATTGTTTCTACGCTGGAGGAGCTTATTCGTCGTGGTGCTTTACATGTGGCACTGAGTGGTCAAAACGACCGAACAATTGTGCGCATTCTTCGGTTTTCGGTAAACCACGTTGATTCCCCTCATTTTTGTGAATCAATGATGATTGTGATGGATGTCATCTTTGAAATTTACGCGACGTGTGCCGGAAAGAGTAACTTCCTTCACAGGGAAATGATGATTGCACGCCGGCGTTTGGGATCTGTTCTCGCGACCCTTCAGCGCATGGAACATACTTTAAGCATAATGGAGCTAATAGTAAACGACGTTTAAGCTTTGCATGTATCATCTAAAGAAAAGTAAACACGAGAGGCAACGAGTGGAAATACACGCCACTGTTGTTGGTGGTATGAATGATGTTCCTAATGAAATAAATCTTGTAATCTTTTGCATTTACTTATTTTTATCCCTTTCCATCTTTTTTCCTCTGTTTTTTTTTTTTTTTTTTTTTTTTTTTTTTTTTCTTGACGTAGTTGCCATCACAAACGTCAGAAAGCATTAATTGAAATAATAATAAAAAAAATAAAAACACACACACACACAAGAAAAGTTTTGTCATGTTTCGTCGTATGGCCGTGACTTCGTTGCAGAAGGGTCTTTCACGCCGAGCTTTCTGCAACACCCCGCGACTTCTTAACCTGGACTACCAAGCATATAAGACTGCCACGGTGCGCGAGGCAGCACCTGAGTGGGCAGGAAAGGCTGTCGTGAATGGAAAAATCCAGGACATCAGCTTGAATGACTACAAGGGCAAGTATGTTGTTCTTCTTTTTTATCCTATGGATTTTACCTTTGTGTGCCCCACGGAAATCACAGCCTTTTCAGATGCTCAGGCTGAATTTGATAAGATTAACACCCAGGTCGTGGCTGTATCGTGCGACAGCCAATATTCACACCTTGCTTGGATAAACACTCCAAGAAATAAAGGTGGCCTTGGGGAAATGAGTATTCCTGTGCTTTCTGATCTCACCAAGGAAATTGCCCGCGACTATGGAGTTTTGATCGAGGAGCAAGGGATCTCTCTGCGCGGACTGTTCATCATTGACGATAAAGGGATTCTGCGCCACATCACGGTGAATGACTTACCAGTGGGCAGAAATGTTGAAGAGGTGCTTCGGGTTGTGCAGGCGTTTCAGTATGTGGACAAAAACGGAGATGTAATTCCATGTAACTGGAGGCCAGGCAAACCGACAATGAAAACTGAGAAGGCAAATGAATATTTTGAGAAAAACGCATAAGTTCAGATGGTGAAGGAGCATTTTTGCATGAATTTCTATTTTTTTTTTTTTTTTTTTTTTTTTTTTTTCTTTCCTCCGTTTTTTAATTCTCAGTGGGTGCGTGCGTGGCCTCCTTTTTTTTCCACCATTTTTTTTTTTTTCTTTGCAAACATTGTTCTTCTTTCTGATTGTGCGTCGGTGGGTTTCTCAGAAATGAGTACTTGGCCTTTTCATCTGTTTGCAACTTTTTTGTTTGTTTGTTTGTTTGTTTGGAAGGAAGAAGAGAAGGGTGGAAGGGTGGACCGCTTTGTGACTGTGAGCAATTGATAGGACCACAGTGTTTGAGACCCGGTATATAAACGTACGTGGCTGTTCAGTAAAGTGTTGAGTTGTGCGCCTAACTTTTATTTTTTCTTTCTTTTCTCTTATTTTTTTTTTTTTATTTCTAATGAAGGATAGAAAGAGGGAAGATGCGGAAGATAAGTGTCCCATCAAAGGGTGAACGCCGCAGGGGAATCCCGGTCGAGGTGTCACGCAACCCAAAAGTCTTCTTTGATATATCAATCGATAACAAACCATCCGGGAGGATAAAAATGGAACTGTACGCAGACACGGTGCCGAAGACCGCCGAAAATTTTCGGGCCCTTTGCACAGGCGAGAAGGGCCGAGGCAAAAGTGGAAAGCCGCTCCACTACAAGGGATGCGTGTTCCATCGTGTTATACCGGGATTTATGATTCAAGGCGGTGACACTACGCGGGGAAATGGGACGGGCGGAGAGTCTATTTACGGCATGAATTTCCGAGATGAGAGCTTTTCCGGCAAGGCTGGCAAACACACTGGGATCGGCTGTCTATCGATGGCGAACGCTGGGCCGAACACCAATGGATCGCAATTTTTTATATGTACTGCCAATACGCCGTGGCTGGACGGCAAGCATGTTGTTTTTGGCCGAGTCACGGAGGGTATTGATGTCGTGCGGAGGGTTGAACGGTTGGGCTCCGAGTCTGGGAAGACACGTGGCCGGATCATTATTGCCGACTGCGGTGAGCTTGTGGTGCCAGAACCGAAGGAGCAGCCGACCAAACAAAAGGACGAGGTGAAGAAAGATACATTAACCGCCTCAAATGCCGAAGCCACCGCTAAGAAGCGCCCCCGTGACTCTAATGAAGAGTCTGATGAAGTCAAGAAGCGCATTCAGGAAAAGAAAGCCAAAATTGCTCAACTTCGTGAGCAGCTGGAGAAATAAACCTCTTGACAGCAGTCAAGTTGCACCGTCTAAATAAAACATAACTTCAAAAAAAAGAAAAAAAAAAAAAAAAGAATGGCACATGACGTCTAATTGGAGGGAAGGAGTGAGTTGTTCCTCGCCTTGTTATTTCTAGCATGGGGAATATATATATATATATATATATATTACACGCACCCGAAATAATAATAATAATAATAATAATAATTGATAATAATAAACGAACAACAACAATAACATCGATTATTTCTTCCTTTTTTTTTTTTTTTTTACTATCATTATTATTATTTTATTTTTAGTGCTCATGATGCGTGGAGGAACTGGTCTACTTTGCTCCACGCTTATATGTCGTATCCCGTTTGTAAGTGTGGGTTCTAGTCGGCGAATGGAAACCCCCACCAAAGAATCACAGGAAATAAAAGATTCCACTGCATTGCCGAGTGGAAGCCATGCACAACGCACCAGTTGCACTGGCCCATTTAGCGCAGTCAATGTTGTGTGGAATGATGAGCGGTGCGGGGAGGAGGAGAAAATGTTGGCACTCATAAAGGAGCAAGAAGAGCGTCGGATTGCCCGTCGAGAGGCTTTTTTGAAATGGCAGGCGGGCCAACGTGAAAAGGGCGCCGCGCACCGTTTGGTACGTCAGGCAAAGACACAAGAAAAGTTCAAGAGACACCATTACCACGCACAGAGTGGAAGGCTGATTTCTATCGCTTTATCTCACGTCGAAAACACCTCCCACAACAGCTCCGATGGCGGCATGGATTTTGTCTCTTCTTCTTCTTTTCGGCATGAAGGCGAACGAGGACGTGCGACAAACTTTTTGTTTTGTTGCGGTACGCGTACGGAAAGACGGACACCCCACGGGTGATGATTCTTTTTGTTGTTGTTTTCTGCTTTTTTTTTTTTTTTTTTTTTTTGCTGGCTGTCTCTCTCTCTCTGTGTGTGTGTGTGTTTGTGTTTCCGTTACGGAAGGAAAAGGAAGAGGAAAGACGAAAAAAAAAAAAAAAAAAAAGAACGGGAGCGCCAGAAATAATATCCAACAACTCCAAAAATAAAAATTATTATATTTCTTTGTTTTATTTTTATGTCGTTTCTTTTTTTTTTTTTTTTTTTTTTTTTTTTTGGCCTTGTTGCATTGCGCTTTTTATGCATT